ATGAGGCCATGTTAAAGGATTTATTTATGCTTTTATTCATAGGAGGATTTATTTATGCTTTTATATTGGTATGGCGGCATTGCCAGGGCAGCGGCCTGCTGTCTTTGGTCAGGATCGATCCTGGTATCGGAGAACAAGCCGTCAGCCCACACTCAATGGTTGTTGATGACCTTTGACACAGCAGCTGGTCTTTAAGTTGACCTCTTCAACTGTGACCTCTCTTACCCACATTGTGACTTTTGATCATAAGAGGGTCAAGCCGAATTACCACTGGGGTATCTCAACCAAGCTAAACCAAGGTGTTGAATACATGCATACAAAATTAAAAATAAAATGGATGACACCTGAATAAGTCACTATATGATGTTTATATCAAAATAAAAAAATATTTACAGTTCTTTTCTTTTTTTTCTTTTCCCAACCCATTCTAATATTTAATGACGGAACGAAAATTTCAGGTAACTTCTTTAAGGGTGACCAGACTTGACAGCTGGATTCATCTTCAAGTACTGTTGTCTATACTTTCCAGAATGGCACAAGGTTTATTGTCGGGGTCTTTCTTCTTCAGCAGATAATTATTATTATTATTATCATTAGGTTGGCAAAACAGCGTTGTGGCAGAAATCACTAAACCCCCCATCACAACTTCACTCTGACTGTAACTGCTGACTGTACTCACATTGGCCCCCATGGTCACTTGTATTTATGGGTGTCCCTTCCAACTGATGTGGTGCGAGCGAATAGGTGGGTTTTATGCAAACCTCCTAAAATTCAACAAGTCTTCTTCTTTCGTTTTCTGTTCCACACTTCCAATTTTGGAAGATCTCCTCCTCTTTCAGAAGGAGCCATTATATGAAGTCAGCCTTCCTGACATCATCTTCTGCCTTTACAATTGTTCATTCAGTTTTCACAACTATAATTTTTTCTCATGGAAATTTTGGTTGATAATTTTCCCAGTACGTGGACATTGACACCTTTCAATAGACGACCTTAACCTTTGGCTCCTAAACCTGCCAGCTGTGTTTCACTGAATAGTAACAATTGCATTGTGTAACTTTTCAACCTGTTCTCAATATCCTGGGAAAATGAATCCCTTTCTAACAAAAAAAAAAAAAAAAATCATTTTCTTAACCCTTTTCGTCTGTATGCCATGTTAAATATTGTTACATCAGGAGATATACAAAAATGATTAGAGGGTTTCTAGGAATTAAATTCTATATATATTTTTAATTCTATATATATTTTTCAACCAATAAAATCCCATCAGAAGGTTTTTTGGATAAACAATCATTACAAGAGCAAATACTGCCAAAATCCTTGCAAATGTAGTTGCAGACTTACCATGTGCTATATTTGGACCATTTAGAAAATAACAATAACTCCTTTCACCACTACTGCAAATTTGAGAAAAAAATTTTCACAAGCCAGTGTGAAATTTTTTTCTAACTAATGAAAACCTTATATTCAAAAAGTTCACACTTCTATGTGAAATTAGATTTTGAATCCCCCTTACAGATATAAAAATAGAAGCCTAGGGTTCAAAACAATTTCTGAGGCTAGCTTGATCTACACGTGTATACACACACACATGCCCATGCATATGCTCAGAATGAAGAGATGACAGCCAGCAGCTGCCAACTAAGGCCTTGTCCACACACACAATAGAAAGGATTAACCAGTAATTGCCTACTAAGCCTTTGTTTATGAAGTCTCAAACATATGAGGTTGACTGTCCTAAAGTCTAGCCACACATTTCACATTGCACTATGAACACTTAATTACTTTATAAAACAATCTTTACTGCAAAGAAAATTGAACATTTTATTGTTGTTGAATATTTCTGAAAAGAATAAATGTTATTTCAACTGACATTCTGCTTCTACTTTTCCTTCAGAAAATAACCTTTTTTTATGTTTTATTTAAAAAGATGTGTTATTGTTGTTGCTGTTAAATGTTTGGAATCCCAACACTCAGATAGCAACAAAAACCTGGCTAGATGGATCCCGACAAGTTCATCTTAGGATTTTACCACATACACCCTCATGCAAATTAATTGAAACAACTGCTTTAGTTTCCTTTTTTTCAACATACAGTCAGTTTTAGACCCACTGGAGTGACAGGATGTAATCAATTTCTATTTTTTCTCAGATTAGGTCATTTGCAGTGGTGTGCAGTAATATGAATCTATTTTTTAGAGTGTATGATGAACTTTGTTTGGCCTTGGAAAATATTGCATCATCTGTGATTACATCAGATTTTCATCATGCCCAGACACTATTGTCTCAGCTGTCGATTGGTTGTCCTACAGTCATTCTGTGAGATGGCCATTACTCCAAGGAAGTATATGAAAAACACTACACGAACACACTGGCAAGCCTTACCAGTGAGAAAATCAAAGTACTATACACTGGCCTGGAAACTCTCCTGATTTAAATCCAATCAAGAATCTGTGGTCAATCTGCAAGGAACGGCTTTATGGAATGAACATATGAAATACTAACAGGTGCACTGGGTCATGTTTCATCAGAAAAATATGAAAAAAGTAAATATAACTGAATTATTCATTTTGTTTCAATTAATTTGCACAAGGGTGTAATTTAAGGGGTTAGTAATGCATCATAGTTATAGAGAATATAAATCATATAAAGAAAATATATGCACGCTCGAGTTTTTTGCATGTTTAAAGTAGAGGTTTTCATAGTGGAGTGGCCTTGGCTGCTGCTGTTAACATTGGACTCCCCTGCCTCTGTAGCTGTATTTGGTCATTGGCATTGGATTTCAATGGGTAGATGTCTTTGGTGAGTGTTCAGCTAAAATGGGTGAGAGACAAACAAATGACTGCAAATAACTTAAATGAGTCTTTTGTCTCCAAAGTTGAATTGATGGTGGTTTATATAGTGTTGGAGTGACTTGGAAACAAATTGTTACTTGAAATGTGTAGATCTTTTCTGATGAGTCAGAAAATATTTTTATGACTTTTTAATGTTTTTAAAGGTTTTTTTTTTTTTTTGTCTTATAAGTGGATGTGCAGAGCTGGCCTAAAATAATTAAACCAGTTTGTGTCATCTGAATAGTAGCGGTCAAGGTTTCATTTTTGTTTAAGAGTAGCAGCTTTGACAAGCTATAACAGTGGTTCCCAAACCTTTTTTTCTCTGGGTTGCATTTTTGGAATGAAAATTTGCTTGCACCTCATCAAATTTTATGTGATAAAAAGTACATTTAAAAATAAAAAACAGGGAGAGGGTTAAAGGGAGATAACTTCGGATTCAAAGTCAGAACATTATGATTGATAACTCTCTCCTCCAATTTACGAACCCTAGTTACTATATTCTTAATAACTTGATATAATGCAAAAATATCGCCATGATAAAATTGGTCAATAATTATTTATAACTATTTATACTGGGACTCATGTATGCAATTACAAGTAATCCATAATAATATTTTAAATTCTGAAATCATATTTATTTTTGGCATATAAATTTTTTTGACACTTCCTAAATCTTTGTCTTTCAATCATTCTGCCTCACCTGCTATCCTCTTCTGCCACACCCATGAGCATGCCACACCTCTTGGGAACCACTGAAATGGAACCAATGCCCTAGGAAAAGTTACATGAATCTACATTTTCTAATCTCTTGTCTCTAGTGTAATTAATGCAGACAGGAGTATGTGAATAAGCATTTGGGAAATCCACTCTTCCATGAATCAGAATAATGTCAATGTTAGTAAAACCTGTAAGAAGTTATTATTAAGTGTAATAAAGTGGATCACTGCACCTTTTTTTATGTTCCTATGAATGATTCTCATTGGTCCTGTAGTAACTTAACTGTATCTATTTTTGGCCATGAAATTAAGCATGACATGCAAATTTTAAAAAATTCACTAGACTCCACACACTCATTTTCAGCCATGTTAGAAACCAGTAGATATACTTAAAAGTGAGAGTGGAAGAGTCTAATTTATTCTTTTTTTTTTTTTTAGGTGCTTCAAATTTTATATTTTGATTTGTTTGATTAATTTTGTTTTATTACATTTAAGCAATTTACCGACAGATATGAATTTTTTTCTTTGTAAACAGAATTTGTGGAACAAATTCTCCATCTCTCTCTGTGATATCCTCAAGTCAAAGACGATCATGGGACTCCGTAGCTTCCTAACTTTTGTTATTTCCAAATATACCTGTTCTTTTGTGATCCCACTTGAAGCTACATATTCTTCCATCCTTTAGCTCAAAAATGTCAAGTAAGTTACTGTCTTGCCTCTCCAAGCCTTTCTTTTTCTTATTACGTGCCCTCATCCAAACCCAGCTGTCCTTTTTTTTTTTGATTGTTCGACAATTTTTTGTAATTGGGGAGTCTTCACAGGAGGAAAACGGTTACCGACTTAGTCTGGTTGACCGTTACTACTGAGTAGGGAGTTCGATCTTAACTGGGTGTCTCTTATTTGTAGCCTTTTTTTTTTTTTTTTGGCTAAGTTTAAAATTATTTAGTTCTTAAACCGTTCCCAGAACCAAAATAGGAAAAATGATTTTCGAGTTATCTCCCTTGGTTAGGCGCGGAATTTAAACATTTGATTCAATAGTTGTTTGTCCCACTTTCAGATCAACTGCCTTTTTTTGTTAATTCATTTCTTTACAAATAACCGTCAGTAAAATAATCCACACCCTTGGGTACTGGATTTCTGCAGCCGTGTGGAACGTTAGAAGCTAAGAAAAGGAAGAAATATAAAAGTGTTTTATTTAACAAATAAGAAAAAAAAAGATTTGAATCGCTTGGATGCAATTTCGCACAAAGAAGTTTTCTTAATTCAAACAATAACATAACTTTGAAAAAAGAAGCTAATTAGTTCCAGGTAAAACGTTTTTATTTAAAACAAAAAAACAAAACAAAACAAACTATCGTAATAATTTCATTGCTTTTATCAACATGTCGTTATTATTGAAAATAAAAAGCGAAAAAACAACTGACGGTGACGATATCACCGTAAAATCGCCCCCAATGAAGAGATCCTCATCGTTTGGGGGTTCAGTCTTTAAAAACCCTAAATTAACAGATTCTGTTCTTTCTCGGATTAAAAAAAGACCCAGGATACAAGATATTACCAACAGAAGGGTAAGTTTTAAAGTTTATAATATTTTATAAACAAATTATATATATTTTAATTTCTGACCGTTATCGCCATGTGGAAATTTAAATTAAAACTAAAATAAACAAATTAAAATTGAATTTAAGTTTAATTTTTCAGACCCTATGAACTCGGCACTAAAAAAGTAAAATAATATAATTTCTCTTAAATGAAAATGGAATATTTTTAATTTTATTTTTAAGAAATAGATAAAAATCTATTTAACTTTATTTTTTTTAATAATTTCTTCAAACAATTTTTTTTTTTTAAGGAACCAGAACTCGCGTAATTTTTTTTTTTTTTTTGTGTGTTGTCATTTTTTGGGACATAGACTTTTTAAAATGAGATTTGTTTTTTTGGTTTGTTTGTCGTGTCAAAGTGTGGAAAACAAAAAATTGTGTATAATTAAAAAAATTTTCTATGTAAAATAGGTTATTTTTGCTGCGTGAGTAAAGTAGGACTTTGTCGTTTTAATCTAAACTTCCCAAAATATGTAAGAAGATTGAATAATAATGGGAGAAAAAAAAAATGATGTGATTTACAATTGTGATCAATAAGCTACGAAGTCAGATGCCAAAAATAAAAGAATTGTAAATAAATAAATTTTTAAAAATTAACAGAAAAAAACCCCTGTTTCTTGAATCTTAAACAAAAACTTCTTCACCCTTAGAGCTGACGAGTTAAAAAAAACTTGCTAAAAATTAGTAACTGTTACTAAAATAAGAAAACGTTTAATTAATTACTGTGCAAAAATGCGTGTGACGTCATCGAAATATCCGAAGAATTCACAACCGTTTTAATTAATGAAGAAAGAAGGAACAGACAAACTGATGACTTTTTTAAACCAAGTTCTTTTTTTTTCTTCAAGTAATACAAATTGAAATATTAGTAATTTTGCACTTACGTTAAATTAAATTATTTCTAGATTTTATTATTCAAACAATAACCAAGAATTTGACATGTTTTTTTCTTTAAATAATTTTTGTTTTATTTATTTTTAAATTGCTAAGTAATAAAGTTTTAATTTTTTAGCTGATTTAACAATAACATATATTTTTTTATTCAATAACCGTTATTTTAGATTTTTATTTTCAAAATTCACTTTTTTTTTTTTTTTTTTAAAGAATCACATTAGTTTTTAGTTTTATTCCATTATGGCTGGAAGAAAGACCATGTGCCCCATTTAAAGATCAAAAGAAAATAATTCCTTAGATGGTTTTTAATCAATTTAATTTAAATATAAATAAATTTACGGAAATTAAAGCCTTTAAAAGCTGATGCAGAATAACATTTCTTCATTAATTAGGATAAATTGTTGAAAAATCAAAATAAATTTTCAAAAACGTTCTTTCGAATATTCTCTTTTTGTTGATTATGAAAACGATGTAGAGACGTGAGTGAAGCATTTAAAAAATATAACATGAGGAAATGCAAGATTGTCAATTTATTTACTTTTTCTTATATAAACCTTAGATGCGAACAATGATTGGTTAAAATCAGGGTAATGAAAAAGGGGCTAAAAATGGATTTTAAATTTGCCAGTCTGGGTTTGTGCAGAATTCTTGGCATGTTTCTGAGATGTCAAACATATCTGATTTCTGTTTTTAAAAAAAAAAAAAAATGTATCTTCAAATCTGCGACTTCATTCGTGGGCCGAGAAACGTCGGTAAAATTATCAATGCCGGCGGTAAGTGTTCGAGTCGATGGAAAACCACTATTTTTGAATGCTTCTTAGTCAGTTGTTCGGCACACAGGCAGCACTCCTCCCCACCACCCCCATCTTCTGGGATTGGCGTAACACAATTTTCCTCCACTCTCACTGCTCGACCCTACACGGAGAGAAACTTTGTTTTTTAATTTAATGTGTATGATCGATTATTCTTTAAAATAGACACACATTCCTTGAATTTAATTTTTCTCTTTCTTTAGATTATTCATGGCGCCAAGTTTAAAAACGTTTTTTTTGGAACATAAAGTAAAAATGCTTTTTTTTTGCTTTTTATTAATTTTCCAATTAAAAACAAAGTATTTAAAGTGCGAAGTTTTTTATTTTTACAAATTCATTTACATTGTAACCCGGATATAAGAGAGTTGTCGGGACCGGAGAAGAAGTCTCTTATATCCGGGTTTGGTCTATTTTGTTTAGGTAAGTATGGGCTCTAATTTGGGACCAGAGAAAATCTCTCTTATATCCGGGTTTCTCTTATATCAGGGTTTCTTATATCCGGGTTACACTGTATTAGAGAAAAATGTTAAACATTTAAAAGATTTTATTATCGCAATTTTTTTTCTGGGAGTGGTTAAAAAAAAAATGTTTTCTTGTCTAATTTTACAGATGTTTTTTTAATGTTCTTAAAAAAAGGTTCTTGAAGACTTGAAAAAAAAAAGTTTAATGCCATCGTAGACTAAAAATGACGTGCAGAGTTTTTTTTAAGCACAAAACAACCAACATGTAATGAAACTTTTAAAGAATTTCTTTTTCTTTTAGAAGACTGAAGAAGATCCTAATCAATCATGAAAATGACTTTTTTTTTTTTTTTTTAAAGTCATTTCACCCCAAGCAAGACGATAAAGCTACTAAGACGCAAGGGGTTACTGAGTATGAGAGAATATGAGAAAAAGAAAACATTATTAACTGAACAATAAAAAAAAAAAAAAACAGGAATTAAGACAGAAGATTACAATTGACATTATATTTAAATTTTTGAAGATCAATGTTGACTGGTTACATCTATTTTAAGTGTAAAATGAGGGGACCTAACTGCCAATCTAGTAATAATCAAGGTACCAAAGAGAAAAATTGCCATGAAAATACTTGTAGAAAAGGCAGAGGGGAAACTATGTTACGGCAGTAGGAAAGTGACTGAGTTTGAGGTGCCAGGCCAGGACCTATATTCAGTATATTTTAATAGTAAAATCATTAACCACATGTTTACATAATCCGCTAGCAGTTACTTTTTTAGGGGGGAAAATGATTTCAAATATAACAAGACAGGAATAGAAGTATTCTTTATTTCTATTCTAACACAAGAATTGAAAAACTTATTTTGATTAAAAAGTAGCTTATAGAAAAATATTCTTATGTCCGAAACAAAAATGATGTATTCTCTTAGTTGGAGAGGACATCATTGGACAAAATATTACTACCTTTTCCTGTTGGATGCAAGTATGAAAAAGTTGTTTGGGGTTTCAACTCTGTAATAAACAATATCAACTTAACCCTAGGAAAATCATGAAGGAAATTGTGCTTTGTTGATGGTTATGGCAAAGTTTCACAGGGAATTGAAGATGTATGAATTCCAAGGGCAAGTCTGTTGAAATTACAGAGATTCTGAAAATCCTCCTTTTAGCCTGTCAAAGTTAGGATGATTGCCTTGATGATTTGTCTGGGAAATTACTTGACAGCTAGGTAAGTTCCATTGCATATTGTGGAGGTTCAAGATTTCATTTAAAATTTCAGTGTCCTCTCTCATTCATGCATGTCACTTTAATCTGATAAAGTTCTAAAAGATGAAACACGTAACACAAAAAAATCTTTTTCCACTTCATCATAAATTTTCCTAAAATAGTGAAATGTCAACCTGTAGCATTTTAATCATAAACTAACTACTGCTTAGTGCTATTTCCAAAGCAGTGTAGACATATAGTAACATACAATATGACTTGTTTTGCAACATATTTTTTTAATTATATTGTGTGTTTGGGGGGGGGTTGCTTAATCTGTACTGTAGAATATCTGATAGAAACCAAAATGACAGCACCCATAAGAACTCATCATCAGTGTCTTTATAGTAATTTAATTCTAGTAAATTTTTTTCCTAAATGGGCCAGTACAGCCAGGCAAAAATGTTATAAAAATGCAGTTGTGAAAGTGTTAAAGTATATAATAGTTCTGTTGCAATAAAGATCATAAAAGCCACAAACTAATTCTACTTCCAGTGACCTCTGAGGTCAACCTCATATAGCCTGTCACATCTGAAGGTCTTGAGTCTTTATACCAAATGTCAGTTTAGTAGGCTTTGTCATTATGATACACATACCACACACACGCACAAACAGAAGCTTCTAATTGGAGTAGGAAAAGTATTCTCATTGACAAAAGTGCGTGTTTTTTTTTTTTTTACATATTGAAAACTTGAAACAAATAAAATAATTTACTTTATTCCAACCGTTACAATTTTCAAGCCCTACAAATATATTTGTTAAATAGTTATTTAAAATAAAAAATAGATGTGAAAATAAAAGATAATATGGTAATATTAGCCATTTCCTTATAAGGAAAACTTCAGCATTCATTGACTGAAAAGCCAATGCCATTTTCAGTTAAAATTTATAAAATCTTTCTATTAAAACAATTTTTCAGGAAAATAAGTTTCAAAAGGCCAGTAACTGTTATTGTTCTTTCCATTATTGATGGGGGTTTCCTTCCTAACCTTTTATTTGATGTTGTGTGGAGCATCAAGTCATTATTTTCTCTTCAAGTTAAATGTGCTATCCATTTTAGTTGCTGCTGCTGATGTAGTTTCTGTTATTTGCTAGTTCTTTGTGATTCTGTAGCCCCAGACCACAAGGGTGGAGGGAGGATATTGCTCACTACCACCCACAGGCTTCATTCACTCAAAGCCATACATGACTTCCTTATCTGCAATACTAAATTTGTTATAAATGATCCAGCCGCCATGGTATAAGATATGTTTGGTATTTACTAATTCCGCATCTTGAATTTGGAGGATATATTCAGGATCAGTGACATACTGGCTTTCATTCCAATTCCAGATCATGGTTTCTCTTTTGGAAAGGTCTATATGTAGAAAGTTTAGTACACCAATTTTCTTGGATTATTGATGCTGATTGTCACAATGTTTCTGTTGTTGTACTTTTCAGACTTCTTCAGGTGTATGTTGCTAATTTCCAAAATTTTATACAACTTATTGGCATAGATTCTTTTATCACTGTCAAGAGCATATCTCGTGTCAATTCCTTCTTC